GTGATGTAAAACCTGTCATAAAAGTAATGCGCTCGCTAAATTTTAAATATTTAAGTATAAAATATAAACTTAATAAAAATACAGTTATCGATTTTCGGTTTTAAATATTTATAGAAAGCTTAAATATACAAAATAACTCACAAAACAAACCATTTCCAAGAAGTTCTAGGCTTTTTCAACTTAGATTTACTCTTTAAAAAGAAAAGAAATTCTTCTCGGCTACTTCATAGTCATTCTTTAAAAATAAAAATGGCGATAAGAATTTAAAGCTTTTTTCAAAACACAGTTGGAAGCATTTTGTCTATAGCTTTATCTATAGAAAAACTTTAGAATACAAAAAGATTATTTTTACTTGCTTTAGTTTACTTGACCTTGTAGAAGAACTTACACTCCTATGAAGTTTTTATGATTGTCTACAAAACGCGATGTTTCTAAGCCATTTTTTCGTTTGAAAAAATCAAATTTGTCGCAAAAAAAACGTTATTCTGTATAATTATATGGAATGTGTTATATATGACTAGAAAGGTGGATAAATTCCCTATCATATAAATATAAGGAATATTTTAATGACATACCTAACTTATGTTGGAAGAAATAAAATTTTCATTATAAATTTGAGGTTATTTCTTTACGCCAACCACATTTCACACAATGATTTCACTGTATTCCATTGATAGACGGCACAGTACACATTCACAACATTGAAGTACAGTAGTTTACGCGCTCATTTCAATTGTTTTTATCATTTCATAACACGGAATTACTTCACAATGTTTATTTATTTGTCAACAAACAAATGCCGGCCATGACCGGCCCGAGCGCGAATTACGACTATTGTATCCAGCGTTGCCAATTTGTAGGGAATTCCCATCAAACGTCTCAAGTCTACCTATTTAAACGTAGTGACATGTAAAGTAATATGAAAAAGCTAAAACTTTGAATTTAAATTGTAATGTCATCGCAGTACTGTCTAATTTTGCTTGCAACAATTGAAAGGCGTAAAAAAACACCATATTCAGCTTCTAATGGAAACTTACCAAAATGCACCATATGTAGCTTCTAGTGAAAAGTACTTGAACACAGGTATAATGGAGTAGCCTTTATTATTTATAAATATATTTTATATGTAAATGTTGAATTTTATACAATGCCATTCATTACGAGCTAGGGTGTCTGATTTTTTTCCTTGGGTTTCGAGAATTCTCGTACCCGATTTCTCGAGTCATGCGAGAATTTTATCGAAAACCAAAAAAAATCAGCTCAATCAACTATAAAACTAAATGTGAAGTTTTCGAAAGTTGGCCTGGGTGTTCTGAGTTGTGCCCCGAAATAAATTCCATCGTTCTTGGTTCAGGTTCGATTCCCGGTAGAACCAATTTGGGAAACTTTTGTAAATTGGTTCTGCTCTGGGATTCTGTTGTTCTGATACTCATGGGGAGTATGTACAGAGAGTTCCCTAGTTTCAGACCAGGTGATTGTCTTACAATAGAATACCAGCACCAGAACCATTTAGAAAAGTTAAGTTAAATTGATCCTACCGGTATCGAACCCGGGAACTTCTCATCCAGTGCCCACAGTGCAAACCGTTAGGCTATCAAGGTTGTACCATTTGTATTATTATGCATTGTTTGCATGTGAAAGCTACAAATTGCTTAAACTTTTTAAAAAATCCTATTTAATTTGCAGTGTCAGTCTGCTTCAATTACCTTCTTTGTTTCTTAAGTTGGTATATTTTGTCATTCATCCAACTATTGATTTTTAATTCATTTTGGAGGTGTAAGATGTTCTCTGTTAATACTTGTCACTTTCTCCTTAAGTTCAAGCTATGTTTACTGGATAAATTCCTGTATTCTCTCCTTTCTATGCACAGTTCACTCATTGATGTAATCACATACCAAAGCTTTAATATAAATTTAATAAAATTTGATATAATGCCTAGGCACCAAAAACCAGTTCTTATTAGCAATGTTGACAAAGCTGTTTTTTTTAATTTTCGTAAGCTTTTGCTGGTTATGTACATATCCGATTGTCTGAAATGAGCCGAGCAAACAAATTTGTATATTTTCAGGATAAAATGTTCTTCTCGTCGCGATTCAGCTATTATATTTCTCCAAAGTGAGCAAAGTATAGGTAAATATATCTCGAGGAAAACTGAAACAAATACATTTATTATGCCATGCCATAAGAAATGTACCGATGTTTCGATTTTTTTAAATTCAAATTCAACGTAAAGCCAAACTTTCATAATTCTGAAAACTAATTCATAATAAAACCGTTATGCTTTAGGGAGTTTTGGATGCTTATTACAAAGAAAAGACTAAGTTAGCTTAAGTTTGTTTTGTAATATTCTAAAAGAAACCTAAAAAAATACTTTCGGGATTATGGAAATTCATGCAAACGTTATTTCGGGCAAATGTATTTTCGGTCTTCTGATTCGTAACCCCAAACCGTAGAAAGAGTACAACAATATTTGAAAGTATTACTAACATGTATTAAAAAATATTTTAATGATAACATTAGCATCACAGCGACTCTATGAAATTTTTGTTCCAAATATTTCAAACGCTTGTGTTTGAAACAATTGAAATTGACGTGTTGGGTCTCGTTCAGTCTTTTACGCAAGCTATGAGTCGGAAAGAGACAGTTAGCTATTTGATTATTTTGATTGCTTTTGTAATTTATATTTACGATTAATTTAAATATAAATTAAATACTATATAAACTAGTGCATAAAATAACACTTTTAAATGATAACTATGATAACACAATGTAGTACTTACTGAAAATATTTTTACTGCCTCCGTGGCCGAACGGTTACTATGCCGGACTGCCATGCAGAGGTCCCAGGTTCAATTCCCGGGTCGGGAGAAATATTTGTATGGCCTACATTTATTTCTCTCGTGAGTTTGGATGTAATTTGTAGTTGTCTACGTGTGTGTCCATGGCACCCGCGACAGAAGGTTTCCCTAATGCGGGGCTATGTTGAATGTGTACGTTATTATTATTATAGTGATTTTTGGGGATTTTGAACAATTGGCATTGGCAACGCTGATTGTATCGAATGATGTGACTTAATATCCAAGGTTTACCACCTCCACCAGATCTTTTAGTATTCTTTACTTTGTCCATTTTGCATAAACTCTTACAACGTCCAATAGAGTAAAAACCCTAATTGTAGTATGTTTTTAAATAAAATCTACTGAAGACGCGCTATAACGTGTTTGTCAATAAGTACAAACACTACAGAATAAATTAAATATATCTAGAATTTATTCTTTTTTTTTTTTATGAATTCACTTGACTGCTAACTCGAGTTGCAAGTCAAGTTAACTCGGCTCGGTGTTCGACAGAGCAACCAAGAGTCACGATTAGAACTCGAACCGACGATTCACCGAGTTGGACACGATCGGCCGGCCGACCGCGACTCGAACGTGACCGAAGGTCACCGAACCGACCGAGCTAACTCGAGTTTACAAAGTATAGCTCCAGTTGACTCGTTGTGGGAGTAACTCAAGTTAAATAAGTCGACTCGCCCACCGCTCGCGACTCGCGTGCGTGCCCTGAAGGTTACCGAAACACAGTGGACCCAAATTGATAATTCTTGGACATAGGAATAACTTGTGGAGTATCGAGCTAATTTTTTTTAAGTGATAGACAATAACATTCCTAATAACTTTTATTCTTGTATAATTTCTTGAAATGTTGATAGTTTCGGAGAATTTTTTTTTTTGCATGGTGAAATATGCATTTTATTGTTTGTCTCAAAATATACAAAAATGTAATGTAAATTAGCTGGATACTCCGCAAGTTATTCATATGTCCAAGAATTATCAATTTGGGCCCACTGTGAGACGCGCTGTATGAATGAAGTATTCGGTTCGGCGGCGGGCGGAGCGGGTCAACCGAGTTAGCTCGAGTTCATGAAAAAGTAACTCGAGTTGGCTCGTTATAGGAGTAACTCGTGTTGACCGAGTTAGATAGCTCGAGTCGCCCATCACTACTCCAATCCAAAGTGAAAAAGTGTGTTGACAAATAAATAAACATTGTGAGGTCATTCCGTGTTCTGAAGTGATAAAAACAATTGAAATGAGCGCGTAAACTACTGTACTTACATGTTGTGTATGTGTGTTGTGCCGTGTATCAATAGAATACAGTGAAATCATTGTGTGAAATTTGGTTGGCGTGAAGAAATAACCTCAATTTTCTAATGAAAATTTTATTTCTTCCAACATAAGTTAGGTATGTCATTGAAATATACCTTATCTGATAGGGAATTTATCCACCTTTTTGTCATTGTGTATAGCACATTCCAAATTATACAGAATAACGTTTTTTGCGACAAATTGGATTTTTTCAATTGTTTTTTTTTTACCTTGGAAGACGTGTGAAAGGTTATTTATTGCATAACACGCTCACCGTTCAAGTTGTAACTTTTACCCCTTATAAAGGTTTTGTAATACTGTGAAAAGAAAAAATCGCTTAGAAACATCGCGTTTTGTAGACAATCACAAAAGCTTCTTAGGAATCTTATAATCTTCAAGACTACAAGATCAACTGCACTAAAGCAAGTAAAAATAATCTTTTCGTATTCTAAAGTTTTTTTTTATAGATAAAGCTATAGACAAAATGCTCCCAACAGTGTTAGTGTTATCTATTAACAGTGTATCGCCATTTTTATTTTTAAAGAATGACTATGAAGTAGCCGAGCAAAATTTCTTTTGTTTTTAAAAAGTAAATCTAAGTTGAAATGGTTTGTTTTGTGAGTTGTTTTGTATATTTAAGCTTTACTTTAAATTATCTAGAAACCTTCGTCGAGATATCTTGAGGGCATTTGGACTCTTAAAATATTCAATCGAATTCAATTCTATTAGATATCATATAGTATATATTTAGATATGGGTTTACTGCTGGGGTTGTTTACCGATTTCTTACATAAAACGCGCTGTATGTACATAATAATTTATGTATTCTATGATGATTTTTGGCATTCATCATTCCTTATGCATTCATCTTACGAATGTGTCTATGAGTGTGTTACAGATGTGGTATAGGATTTAAAAAGCTTTTTGCCGTCAACGCAACCTGTGAGCAAATATATCAATAAATATCACGTTATAATTATTGTAATATGGATGGAACATACATATACTTTATATGCTGCGTTCATTCATATTCTTTCTACCTCGATTGCGAGCATAGTTGCGAGCAGAATATAATTACAATTAAACTTTCTTTCTCGCAGATAGTATGCGGTATATCGGCGATGGTAATGGGCACTGTGGCTTTCATCGAGGAGCGGCAAAAGTTCAACATGGGGCTCGGCATTCCAGCTGGGGGTATCAGTGTTTTAGCTGCCGGTAAGAAATAAATATAAAATTGCAATTGCCAATTTTAGTAACGTAATTAAATATTTGAAAAGGTAGCGCAAGTACTATTACCGTTAGTCCTGGAACCCTGACAGCTACACTCCTTATCGTCATAACTAACATAATCGACATGTTTAGCAAAATAAAGTTATTAACATATGTGTATATCTGGAATCAGCGAAACAAGATCGTCTCAGGTTATACAAGTTGGTCGATGTAGAAACAACATGGTGAAATGGGGATATATTAACCCGACTCCAAATTATTGTGCCCGCGGATCCTCCACACAAACTATGTCTCATTTGCTCTCATGCCCACTGTGTCCGACCAGCTGCACCCGCCATGAGCTGCTAAAGGCAACGGATAGGGGCATATTTTTTTTAATTTATTGACCAAAATACAGGAAAAATACTTATTTACTAATTACAAGCTTCGCTCATAAAAGCCCTTCCGGCTTTATCCGCGGCGAAGGAGTATAATAGGAATCAAGTAATATAACACTGGTTTTTTGTTGGTTTTTGTTCATGACTAGACAAGAAGAAGAAGCAAAACGATATCTACAACCCCCTCTCTAATCGGCTTCATTTATATCTTATTTAGTTTCAGATTTATTGTTAAACAAAATCAGCGTTTGACATTCTTCAAATAAAAAAAACTTTAGATGCCAATATCTCGAAAGCTTACCAAAATACAAATACGTTAGTTATGACAAGAAGGACTGTACTTCTCCTCCGCCAGAACAGTCGAGAGCCGCAGAAGTTTATGCCTTCGTTTATACGAAATGAGGATCGCGATTCGGATACAGAGCCCGCAGAAAAAGTGATAAAAAAGTATGCCGAAGCTTACCAACTAAAAAAAACAAATATTAGAGCCCGTGTTAATTAGACTATAAAGACATGAACAAAACTTAGCGTATCTTGCCCTAAAATAATATTAAAAAATAATTTTTGTCTATGGACAATTCTTTACATAAGTTACTTTAATTTGAAAATCTTTTAAAAAGGCTACATTGCAATTAGTTATAAGGTTTTGTTTTGCCGTATAACAAAATACAGCAGTGGAAACTCTGGGTCCCTGATGCGACAGGCGGATCTCCTCACTGAGAAAGTTTTAATTCAGCTCGTTAAAACCGTTAGGGACCAGAAGGCTGCCAGCTGCTTCTGACAAAACATAAAGTTAGCAAACCAAAGTTGCCAGTCTCCTGGGCATGCGGCTCTCGATGAAATATTGTACCTTTAAAAGTCATCCTTTTTGTTGTCTTCTATGTAAATCACGAGCATTTCCGCTATTCAATGCCCTTTTCATAATTATTATAAGAGTAATAATTAATTAAGTAAGTAACTGTACTTACGTGCGTGCGTATGTGCGTGCATGCGTGCTTAGTAAGACAATACGAACCTCTTGTTGCTGCAGTGCGAGCGAATGAAGTATAATTCGCTTGCTTCTTTCTCATCAGAACTCGCCACTGTTACAGATTTATTTTATAATATGCTATAATATATAAAGAAGGATTTTTTCACAGAATACATGTAGCTACGCTATATACAGATATCATGGCATAAATTCCGAATAAGTATGGTTTAAATGTATTAAAGCTCCTTCGCAAGCAAAACATATAAGAAACAAAACATGGAAGTTGTAAAACAAAACAATAAGAAGCTGGAGTCACGTCGGAACCCAATTATATTTGCACGTCTCGACGAATCAATTCGACGTCGTCGTCGTTATGGTGATACTATAGTGATGAGCGGAGCGTAGCACATATGGAAACTCCATACAAACGCAGTAACGTGGTTTGTATAACGCCGTTCGCGTAACGCACATCTTCGCATAATTTCGCGATGCACTTTAGTTGCATAACGCTGGTCCTGAACATGCGCCTTTCATTGTTATACGAATGTGTGCGTCCGTACTCGGCACGCGGCGGGTGTGCACACAGGTAAGCCGCGCTGCTGCGTATGAATGGAGTTACCATAGTTGTCTTTTATACTATGGTAGTATTATAGTCTCAGACAATTTAAATCAATTATTATTACTGTATTCAATTATTACGACTTGTCACTCATTTTAAATTGTTTATATTATCAACGGTGAGAGACTGACGAGTCTGGTAAATTATCACTAATCACATATGGATAGATCCAAATTGGTAACAAATTTATCGATTTTTAGCGGTGTCCATCCATACATCTCGAGGCTGGGGAGCCGTGGCAAGTACTGCAATCGGCGCAGCCGCCGCAAGTATTCTCTGGGCTGCTGCCGTATGCTTCCTACTTGCCTTAATTGTGCAGTGCTGCAGAACTATACTGGATCCACCTGGATTTAACTATAGGTTAGCATGAAATTATTCTTTATCTTTTTTTATTTATTTATTTTATGAGATCAAGATTTATTAAGAAATAATTGTACATTTCATCTCCATCACACCAGATGGAAAGCGACAATAAGTTCGCCGATGGCGCATGCACACCTAAATATTACTTACTCTCACTACTTACTCCCACCTTGAAAAAGCCCAAATTATAGCATTAATGGGAGTAATGTCTGCTGGCAGGGAATTCCACTCCATAGCCATTCGCCAAGTAAATGTGGGAGCGCTTCGTGCGATTTCTTGGAATATCCGCAACATAGAAGGAGAACCACAGCATACGTTTAGTCTTCTGATGGTAGAAAGGGGAACGCGGAACTAAATTGTGCAATTCCATCGCACACTCTTATCTTGATAAATGTTTAAGATCGTTGAAATAATAGAAAAATTATTATACTATGCGTTTTTCTAGTGACATGCACATAGAAGAAGACACAAAACCATCGACTCGCGATTTGATAGTAATTGCATGCGTGCAAATCGCCCTCGCTGCCGCTACGCTCCTGAGCGCAGCAGTCTGCGCGCGCATCGACTGCAGTAAATGACGCGAGCCGCAGCGCTCGCTTACGCGCCGTCGCGTTAGTGAAGCACCCGCGATCGTCACCGCTGCCGCTGTCGCTTCCGCAGCGCCTGTACCCCCACCCGAAGACGTCACGGTTGAGCGGGAGAAAGGTGGGCGCGTGGCCTGGCTGATATAAACTTACCAACTTAGAATAAACGTCGAAGAGGTCGACAAACAGGAAAAATTTGGAAAGTGACATTGCATGAAGGTTTCTTTGGTCTGTAAGGTTTATGTAATAATATAAATCAAGGAAACATAGTGTTAGGTAGTTAAAATTTAGCACGTAAATATGATTGTAGGAGGTGGTTGTAGTAATATTAGGCACACACATCTGTATAATTTAATTAATGCAGTATCCATGTAGTTTTAGTAATATACTTCCGTTTGAAACTGAATATTGACTGCTACGGTATAATTTGATGAAAGAAATTTATAAGTGTAGACTTAAGGTTCTAAGTGTAATGAAAGTAACACTCATAATTGTCATAATATTATTTATTCTTACCCAATGAAATAAGAATCTGAGCAATAACTAATATACACATATAATTAATATTATATTATTAATAATACTATACAAATACTACAATATACTCATTTTATTCTATGATCAAGCAATTATGTACGCTATAATTGGAGTAAGTAAGGACCTTTTGTAAGTAATATATATAATGTTTTTTGTAAATATATTTCGTTTGTAGCTCTGAAGAGCTACAGACGACACTCTTGGTTTAATTAAAATAAACAATACTATTGGTTCTTAATAAATAAGCAACTTTGTTTTGCTCTGCTTTGGTAAATAATAAATTATGTATACAAAGTTATAACAACTTACTGTTTAATAAAATATGCATAGAAAACTTGTAAATATATATATAGGTAATTTTTAAAATACAGCTTTTAAGTCAAAAGATTCGTTTAAGTCGAAGCCATAGAGAGTTTTCGTATCCAACGACTTTTTTTACAATATCGAATACACGATGTATTATGCGCATTGTCTGTAGAAAAAGTTACTGAAATTTATATTGTTCAAAAAATTTCTTATTTTCAGCTTAAAGAACAAATCAGAAATCTCTGCTCTTCCTCTTTTTATCGAAAAGTTTTTTTTTTACCACACATTTCAAGTCTGTGTTCATTGAAATAATTAAATGAAACGACATCACACCGACGTCCCCGATCATTTTTGCATATCGATCTGTAATGACCAATTTTATTGACGTTGATCTTCACGATCATAAGAATACGAAGAATTTATTTGCGATCAACTTCCTTTTCTTTTCTTAACTTTTCTCTAGTATAAACCATCATTAATGTACCAGAATCGACCTGAGGGTCGTATTCTAGAACTCTACTCAATGCTCAAGTCAGGATTTGAGTATGGTTTAAAGCACTCGAAATCATACTCAAGTCCCTGCCATTAGGGTCGTATTTCCAGTGCTTGTGTTGCCAGTGCAATCATGACTTGAGCATTGAATAGAGTTCTAGAATACGACCCTGAAAGTCCCCTTTCCTGTCTGCTTTTAATCCGCGGCAATAACAGTCATAATTAGTAGTCGGATAATTGGATGCTTATTTACCTACAATTCAAGTAAAATGGAATGAGTTCTTGTATCGGAAAAATCCGTTGATTGATTGATTGACAAAATTATTAAGTATAAAATTGAAAGTAAATAAAAGTTTAGAACGTTTTTTGTAATTTTATGTAACGCTTAAATTAACTTTCAACTTTTTTGTTTTGTCTGCCCTTATTTCCATTTATTTGGTGTCGGCCCTTCTGGTCATTCTTCTCCAAGATGGTCTGATCTGAGTCGTCTATGGTCTTAACTGTTGCATTCGCATATCTTTATTAATAAGGGATATCCATGTGAGGCGGGGTCTATCATGTCCCTTGGGCGGTCGCTCATGTTAAGGAGTTTCCTTGTCATATGATCAGTCGTCGCATAACATGTCCGTACCACCTAAGTCGGTTCTCTAGCAACTTTTCCAAGATAGGCCTCACTTTAAAACTGCCTCTGATGTGGATATTTTTAACGTGGTCTAGTCTTGTAACGCTGCCCGCCCATCTTAGCATTTTCATTTCCGCGCTGTGTATTCTATTTTCTTATAGCTTCTTGAGAGGCCAACTCTCAGCACCGTACATTATGGCTGGTCATGCTGCTGCGATGTATACTCTGCCCTTAGTACGAACCGGCATTCGTTTATAGCAGAGCACGCCTGAGGGCTCTCTCCATTTCATCCATTCCATGTTTATACGATGGGTGACGTCTGCGTCTATTGTCTCATTATTACAGATGACTGAACCGAGGTATTTGCAATGATCGATTTGTATAAGTGGGGTATTTTGAAGATAGAGAGTGCTTCTGCTATTGGTGCCGCTGAAATTGCAATGCATATGTTCGGTTTTCTCTCTGCTTACTCGTAATCCGACTCTTTCGAGTGCTTCTCTCCATTTTTCTAGCGTTTGCTTCAAATCATTGGAATCCTCACTAATGGGGATGATCATCAGCGTATAGAATGTCTAATGGTGAGAGACGTTGTAGTACTGCCGTGAGGTGGTTCATTACGAGATTGAAAAGCAAAGGGCTCAGTGCCGAGGCTTGATGACCTCTCACGTCAAACTCATCACCTGTTTCACCTGGCATTCGTACTTTAGTTGTAACATTTTGATACATATCTTTTATCAGATTTATATAGTACTCTGGTACTCCTTGTGCCCTTAGAGCATGCCAGGTAAACTGTTGGAACGCGATCGAAAGCTTTTTCGAGATCGATGAATGCCATATAAATGTTGTGTGTCTATGTTCATATTAACTTTTAACATATATAAAATGAAAAATATAAAAAGTTCTAATATTAGGACAAAAATATAGTTTTAATAATTTTCGAGTTCTTAGGTTTTCGCGATTGTTACACATAGGAAATGAAACTATTTTTCCGGATTTAAATCGCGTATATT